GCACTTCTATGCAAGGCCCATGGCAGACCTGAGCTGTCTTTCAAGTCTGGCACGACCAGCGATTACTCGGAGGCCTCCAGTGTTACACCTAGAAATGTTTGTGGGTCTCCAGGGCTCACCTTCGAAATGCTCAGAGAACCTGGGATGAAACTAGGCTTGGTCACATGCTAGGCAGGTGCCTGACACTTTCTGCGATCCAAGACTAATGTCCTTTTTAGTTCTTTTATTTAAAATTTGCAAAAACAGTGCGATTCGGTCATAGGACTCAAAGGAATCAAATGCCTTTTCCTGCAGTGGGAAAACTTTCACAGACCTACTTCTTCAGTGGATTCTGAGAGTCTGAGCGAGTCAAGACAAAGTCTGACTAAGGGTAAAGATCATCCCAACTCCAAAGTCAGAGCTCTAAAAGCACTTGACGTGGATGAAGGTGTCGCGGATATTTTGCTCTCAAGTACTTCCTCTCAGTGCTTAGGGATCGAGGGCACTGTAGTCTTCCAGGAAAGCCCATTCTCCAAGCACAACCGGCCCTGTCAATCAGAGCTGAAACAGAGGAAAGGCGAGAGGGCGCTGTTTGTTTTAAGAGGAGCATGCTGTTGGTCTGTCACTCAGCACACAAGAAAGATTCTGCTGATACTTGCTTGAGTCTTGTTCTTCTGTTTCTTTATTTGTTTGTGGGGCCTCATCCAGCTGTGCTCAGGACTTACTCCCAGCCCTGTGCTCAATGATTACTCTGGCAGGCTCTGGAGACCACGTGGGGTACTTAGGATCAAACCTGGTTTGTACCTACCCGCCGTACTGTTGCTCACGCCCCTCCTTGATTTCTGTCCCCTGACAAGACCTTGACCTTACAGTTAGATTCCTGTTACTATATTTCAGGATAAAAATATATTTCGCAGTAAAACAAAAGTCTGTGTTGGAGGCAGAGTAATATGTGAACTTGGGTTTTATTTATGTCGAGAGGAGAGAGCTCCCAAGAAGTGCTCAGCAATTCTTGACCAATCGAATCAGTGGCTCAGTGCAAGGGCTAGAAAATGTGATACTGCTGGGGCCCTGGTGTGCTGGGGGTGACCCCTGTTATCCCGGTGATGCTCACGGGCCTCTAGTTCTGCATCCAGTGATGCTCGAGGGACCATGTGGTGCCAGAGATTAAACCCAGAGGTCAGGGACACACTAGGGCCCTAGCTGCTGTACAAAAAGCCCCTGGAGACTTGTGTTTTAAAGCTTCCTTGTTTGCATCTTGTAACCTGATACAATTCCTGAACTGAATTCTGAGACCCAGAGAATTAGTTTGTGGTGTAGCCCGCACGGGACTTTCTGTTTCTGCAGTACTAACCGCTAACTTCATTTCGGCTCCATTTCATTACTTGATGTTGACTTTTCCCTTTGCCCTAACTATTTTAATCTAATCGTGTTCTACTGCATCTGATGCAAATATATAAATATATACTATAAAGTGTATCTATTTTGTTAGAAACCACTAATTGTTCTTATAAGAAAAAAATTTAAATAAACCATAGATGAATTATGCACCCATTGGTGGTGTTTTCTTCTGAATGGTTTCCTTTTTGTGTTGGTGGAGCTTTTATTTATTTATATTGGTTTGGGAGCCAACAGTGCTCAGGGGTTATTCCTGGCCCTGCACTCAGGAATCTCTCCTGGTGGGCTCAGGTGACCTTATGGGATACAGAGGTTAGAGTAAGTGCCCTACCCATTGTACTATCTCTCCAGCCCGGTTAAGCTTTTCTAATGTTGCCAATTTTCTCACTTGAAAATGCTTATGTGCCTTTACAATGACAAATAGGTAGAGAGGATCAAAGGGTAGAAGATAGACATGGGAATGTAACAGACTAAACACTAGTGTAAATAATATTGTCTTAGATATTATCCAAGACACTTTTTTAAGTGATTTAAGTGATTATCCAAGACAGTAGATCTTAAAAGTTCTCACTACAAGAACCACGTTGTAACTGCCTGGTAAATTTAACTAGCTTTATTGTGCGGATCCCGTCCCAATATATACATACATCAAATATTATGTCCCCCTTCCTTCCCCTTCAGATGCTGGTGTCTGTATACTGGTGCAAATCAATTTTTCCCCTTCTGCTAAACCCACCCAAGTGCTGCTGAGACCTGGACCATCCCCAGGCCACCGGGGAGTATAATCTGTGGTTCAGTTTGCACCCCCAAAGCCCTCGGTCTGCTCTCCCAATCCTTAGATGTGGAAAATTCTCTAACCCTCTGCTCTCTGGCTTGTTTCACAGCCACTGACAGGGCTCTACGGGAAATAGCACAGAGTGCAGTATGCTGAAAAGCAAGAGCCGAGCAGAGCTCCCCAAGGCGCCCTTAGGTCCCAGTCATTAATCTTTGTAACACTCCTTATGAGAGGCAGGGATGAGACACCCCCTACACACACACACACACACACACACACACACACACACACACTAGACTGTTTCATGACTAAAGGGTGGGGAAGATCCTGATCAGTGAGGGGAGGAGAGGGGAATGCATGATTTGGAGGGAGTTAGGAACCCCGAGAAACCCTAACACTTTACCACAACGCAACCTCATCTTGACATCTCCCAGGCTACAGCCGGAGTAAAGGCAGGGGCTGTCTTTTTGAAAAGTACTGAACTTTGGGGGCTGAGATGGTGTACTAGTATCCATACATGGCCATCCCCTCTCCTACTTGGCTGTGGTCCAGCCTCCCCCCGCCCCCCACGCACATACACATCCCCGGATTTGACTCTGAACACTATGTTGTAAGTAGCTGCCAAAGTGCTTAAATGCCTCAGGCCTCCAGGCCTGGGTTTTTGAAAGGTCTCTAGCACACCTCTTTAAGAACTGCATTGACCACCCACCCCGGGATTTCCTCCGCAGGCAAATGGGGGGCTGTGGCTTGGCCCTCGCACCTCCCTATTGCCCCATTCTCAGTGTTGGAGGCTGAAAATGCTGGAGGTGGCAAAGTTGGCTCTGTCCCCAACTCTCTGACCCAGGACTGTGCATAAGGATGTGGTGTGCACCTTTGCGCCAAACTCAGGTTCTCCCCAACGGTGATCTGGTGACTAAGGAAGCCGGTAACTGATCTCCTTCAGTCACCTTTATTATCTGTAGACAGAATATCCTTAATTCAACAGTAGGAACATAAAATGTGTAATGATAAGAAAAAAGATAGGAAGATACTAAAAATAAAGTGATGGAGGGGAAAATTAGACCTTCTGCGGGATGGCCTACCAGTGAGAAATTAAAAATTAATTTTTAATTGGCACAATCTAAAGTGATACTACTTTTATACCACTTTTTATACTCCAAGATGGTTCTGTTTGTTATGTACTTAAGTATCTTTTTAGGAATTGTTATGAAATAAACTCTGAGTAGAAAGTTAAAATGGAAAATTCTGTTCAGAACGATAATCCATATTTTAAAATAATAGTGTCTACAAAGCACTTACTACATGCCTGGCACTTTGAAAAAAAGGCTTTATATGAATGATCTTATTTATTAGTCATAAAAAGCATAACGGACAACAACCCACGTTTGACAGAGAGGAAAAAAAAAACATTTCGGAAAGGTCTGGCAACTTGTCCAAAGTCAGACTCCGGCACTCACAGCCTGGGTTTGAATTCAGGGTTTTGTTTCTGTTTTTGTTTTTCTGAGCCCACAAAGTTTTACATGCTTCTGACTTTCCAGCTTCGGAACGTGCCCTTTACCTGTGTGGAAAGGTACCCTAGAATCAGAACTAAATCATGGGGCAGAAAATCATGCACAGAACTGACTCTTCCAAGAGATATTGTTTCAAGAGATATTGAATTTATCAAATAAAATCGTCGGAAAACTGAATGCACCCACGGAGGAACGAGGTTGTCCTCGCTATGGGAAAAACGCCGGCGCTGATGCCACGTGGCTGGGAATTGTCTTTGGATCGAAATACCTCGGGACCTCACTAATCCGCACGCGAAGGAAGCCTGTGCTCTGCTACCTTCTCGCTTGCTGCAGAACCACACGCGCGCTGCAGCCTGGAGCGCAGGCTCAAGTCCCGAGTTTCCTACCAGGCACACAGAACTCCTAAAGCGCCCTGAGCTCACGAGAGGACGACTTCAGTACAAGTCACCGCTGATCACTAACTGCCTCGCACCCGCGCACTCCTGCCCCTTGCCTCGGCTGGGGGTGCCCGTTCACCGTGCCCTTTGCGTCCTCAGCCGGGCTCTTGCAGGCGCTTCCAGCTCTCACCTGCGGGCGTGCGTGGCTTTGAAACATCCTTAAAGCTGTTCTGGGTCAGAGGCTTGAAAGCTGGGCTAGGGGAGAGGTCGCCACCCCGTCGCGACCTTGGGTGATGAAGAAAACAGCGGCTTTGCTAACTCAACGAAAAGATCCCCGGAGGCGCTTTTTTCTAGGGGACTTGACGAGGCCAGGCTAGGCACCACAAATTGTGCAGATTTCAGGCTTGAAGAGGCAGCCGAGGGGGGACCGGCTTCCACTTCTGCATCCTCTCGGGTCCTCCCAAGAGGGGGGCTAGCCGGCCGGGGAGCGGGGTGGTCCACGCAAGGACACAAAGTGACGCCAGGAAGGACGCGTGGTCACTCCCCCATCTCCGTGCTCCCCCCCTCCCCCGCTGCGCCCCCCTGGGGTGGGGGAACAAGGGCTCCTCCTCCTCCTCCTCCCGGGTGTAAAATGCAAACAAGCGCCCTCGCCCCGCCGCCTGCCTCCTCTCCCCAGCCCAGGAAGAAGCCGCGGGGCGGGCGCCGCCCAGAGTCCAGTCGAGCGCGTCTGCAAAGGCGGCGCGACCCTCCCGAGAGGGTCCCGAGAGCATCCCGCGGCCCCCGCGGCCCCGGATCGCCCGCCTTCTCCCGCAGAGCTTGCACCGGGCATCACATCGCATCTCCGCGCTGACGGCCGCAGCCCCCCTCCCGGGTACCCCGGGGCCAGCCCCGCGCCGCTTGCAGGTGACGCTCGCACCCGAGTCCGCGGGCGCCCCCTGCGGGGCAGAGCGCGGGCGGGAGCCGGGCCGCGGCGCGCGGCAGGCCGGGCAGAGGGCGCGGGCGCGGGGGAGAAGCCGCGAGCGTCCCCGATGGTGCCGCCGCCTCCGAGCCGGGCACGCGCGGCGACGGGGCAGCTGGGCAGCAGGAGCTTGGGTCCGCTGCTGCTGCTCCTGGCGCTGGGACACGCCTGGAGCTACCGCGAGGAGCCCGAGGACCACGACAGGTACGCGCGGCGGCCCGCCTCTGCGGGGGGCGCTCCCCTACCCAGCGCCCACCCTGCGCGCCCGCGACTTGGGTGCTCCCCTGGCGGGTGCCACATCACACCCTCCTTGCAGGGCAATTTTGCCCAGCGCAGACTCTCCTGCAGGGCATCTGCCCTGAGCCGGGACTTCGCCCCGCTCGGACTCCCCTGCAGGGCGACTGCCCTTAGCCGGGACGTGGCCTGGCTCCTGGGACCCCCCCCAGGGCCCATTTCTTCAGCGCCGGTCCTCGTGCCGTCCCCGCTCCGTCGGGGGGTCGCGGGGCGCTCGGGGCGCCGGAGTCCGCCCGCCGCAGACGCGCACTGGGATCCCCCGGGACGCGCGCGCTCTGAGCCCCGGCGACCCCGCGGCGGGAGGAACCAACTCGCTTCTTGATTCCGCAGGGAAGTGTGTTCGGAAAACAAAATCGCGACCACCAAGTACCCGTGTCTGAAGCCCTCGGGCGAGCTCGCGACCTGTTTCAGGTAAGCCGGGGGCTCCCGCGGCCGCCAACGTGTGCTGGGGGGGAGTCAGGGTTTTGTTCCCGGGACCTGAGGACCCGGTGGGGCGGGGTGGGGGGGGGCATCTCCAGGGCGCACACCTTTGCTTCCCTGTTGGACCTTCCTGGCGGGTCCTGAAGGTTTGCACCCCACTTGCATCTTTTGGAGGGATTCGAGCTCCGGGAGCAGCCCGCGCCCGGTGGGGGTGGACAGGAAAAGTCTGTAAGAAGCTTCTGGGAGTCATAGCGGTCACAGGGGGTGCGCAGTGTTGCGTCTGCGTTTTGTTTTGCAAACTCAATCGGGCAGGCCTTGGCTGTCTTCTGACCTTCTGCGGGGACACGGTAACATTGTCATGGGCTCTGGCCGCTGATAGGATGGGGACGGAGGCTGGCTGTTGATGGAACTGTGTTAAGTGAGCAGGACAGACGGCGCAAAAGTGCGCCACTTGGAGAACCATCTTTGTGGAAATGCCGTTCCGCGGCCTGGGCGCGTTCCTGAACAGCCTGGATAAAGCGTTGGGCAGCGGAGGGCGGCCAGAGCCTCCCCAGGTGGTTCTTATTCGTGCTGAAATGAGTCTCGGCTCCTGCTTTGTGCCTCCCCGAGGTCGGGGTCAATCTTTTCCGCTCTGAATTCCTGACGTTTGCTCCGTCCCAAAGGGCTCCTGATGGAGGCGGCACGTGCCCGGACACGCTCGCTGCTGGCTCCATAAAGGGGCCGTGAAAGCTTCTGGAATCCCACACCCGTGCTCCGCCGGTCTTGAGAGTCACCGGGTAGGGGGTTAAGTGCCGGGCGCTGCCCCAGGTAACAGGGCAGCCCTTGTTTACTGCTCTCAGCTGCCCAGATGGTCACTTTAGGGCCGGCGGAGTGGGATCAAGGCTGGTCAGTGTCAGGGTGCAGAGGCCAGCTGCATTCAGGATGGGGCGAGGGACTTGGTGGAAGGATGGCTGGCATATAGGGCACTCCGCTGTTCCTCTGGCTTGGGAGTGGCCAACACAGTGAGTGGCCAACACAACACATTTTTAAATGGGGTGTGAGCCGTAAGGGTAGACTTGAAGGGGCTTTCTTGGGCAGTCAGTCAGGGTGAAATGACCTGCTGTTAAGGTCCCAGGCTGCTTCCCTGACCCCAGCCCTGTGTGGAGCCTCCTCGGACCAGTAATTTTTAGGACTGATGAGTTTTCCTGTGCCTGCAGAACGAAGCGTCTGATTGAACAGGGAAAGTATTCCTGAGTTGATCTGCTCCATTGCTCGGTCCTTGAAGGTCAGCCTGCCCATCAATCAGGGAGGCCCATAGAACTCACTTTACGTTTTCGGAAGTGGTAGCTGCCTCATTGGGGGCTTCAGGCCACTTTCACATTCATCAGTCATCAGCTTTTGTGAGTCTGTGAAAACAGTCTGGTGTTTCCTTCCCAGGAAACGTCTTGAGATAAAAGCAGTGTCGAGATCAGCGTCTTCACCAATGGTTCTGATCCGTGTCTTCACTAGCTGCTCTCCAAGGAAAGAGCTTGTGGGAGCTAGAGAGAGAGGTGGTAGCCCCATGTACTTTGCAGCCAAGAACTTTGTTTTGGAGAGTGAGACATGGCAAAGGAAAATTTTTAGTTGGAAAAACCGGGTCCTTGTGTGCATTAAGACTCTTGATTCTGAGCTGGAGAGATAGTGTGGCGGCCAGGGTCCTTGCCTTGCATGTGACCTACTAGGGTTCAGTCCCCGGCACCCCATATGGTCCTCTGAACCCTACCAGGAGTAAGCCCTGAGCACATCGGGCTGTGGCCAAATAAAACAATTTAAAAAATTTTTTTTTGATTCTCTGCCTTTTCTCAATGGTGGTGAAGAGCTCTGCATCCTTACTGGTTGCATGCTATTTCCACGAATTAGTCACTAAGCTGGTTGGGCCTGTCTTTCTTTTGAACCCCCAAATAGAGGACTGTTTCTTAGTTTGTGCATTCAGAGTTTGGTGCCACTGTGGATGCTTACTCCGGTGTGGTCTGGGAACTAGTGCTGGCATCATCTGGGAGCTTGTTAGGGTCTCAGCCCCTCCCCAGACTTCCTGACTGAACCCCCATGTGGATGGTGTGCAGTCCAGCCGGAGAAGCCTGGCCTTGGGAGTGGTCCCCGAAAGGGTCAGGGGACAGGCCTGTCTAGCTATATCCTGCAGGCTAGCAGGTCACTTGCCCTTCTCCCATACTATAACCCCCCAGTAGACAAAAGAATCATTTTCCTGGAAACTGATTCCAGTGTGACTTAATGAGCTGCAAAAAGCTGAACTACTATTGGAAGAAGAAGAAGAACACCCCAACTAGATACCATTTCCTCTGCCAGCTGTCTTCTAGGTGAAGAGTTTATAGTACAAATAAAGCAACACAGTCACTGCTGAACTGGGAGAAAGTGATTTAAATGACTTTAAAACCATGAAGGATAGGCCTGAGAGACAGTGCAGTGGGAAGGGCACTTGCCTTGCATGTGGCCAGCCCAGGTTCCATTCCTGGCATCCCATATGGCCCCCAGCATACCACCAGGAGTGATTCCTGAGTGCAGAGCCAGGAGTGACCCCAGAGCATCGTCGGGTGTGACCCAATACCACCCTGCCCCCCCCCCAACAAAACTCCATGAGTTAATACTAAAATGAACCTGACAGAGGACGGCATTGTGTTCTGCAGGTTATGCCTGATGTGTAGGGGGCAGGAGCTAATTCTAACTCTGCCATCCCTTTCTTCAGGTCTATTTGTCCAGGCTCACCTAAGTGGCACCTTCCCACCCTTCCCTTTAGCTCTTCCTACCTTACAATTTGAGGACTTAATATCCTGTGCACTTTACACACATTATCTCTAATCCTCAAAGCCCCTCTGAGCATAGGTATTATCTTCTTTTGACAGAGGGGGGACCCCCAGTCAGAGGGATTAAGGAAGCTTGCCCCCAGGGTCACTAAGCTAATGTGTGTGAGCCAAGATTCAAACTCAGGTTCCCTGACTTCAAAGCCTGGAGCCTCTTATCTCAGGAATGACTGAAGATGAGGCCAATCTTTCCAGATGCTGGGGTCTCAGGAAGCCAGACCATCAATTCTGCTGACTGCCAACTTAGAGGGCAGAGTGAAAAAAAAAAAAACTCCCACACTCTCTGGCCAGGGAGGCTCCTGAGTTCCCATTGCCTCTGGGACCTGCCTTGCTTGTCCTCATGTTGACATTGTGTGATCATTCTATGCACCAAATTATTTGGGGGCATGTCTGGTGTCTCTTCCTCGAAGGATTTCCTCTGAAGTGCTGGGTCTATGTCTGAAGAGTTTCTCTGGCCCAAGCAGCCCTTTGCCAAGTACTCAAAGTTCAAACTTGTCAAATGAAGGCTAGTGACAACTTAACAGAGCAGAGCACACCTTGCTCAGCGCTGGACTCTAATCTTGGGTAGACTCCTACCAGTAAAGATTTCGGAACTGGACTGCAATTTCTCTCTAACTAAATTTACCACTAGAGCCAAACCAAGCTAATTAAGTTAGGGCCCAAATCCTCTTGCGTCTATTAAAACTTCTCTTACGAGTTGATTTTCCCCCACCTTCTTTCTCAAGCCTGTAGATGGAACAAACTTTCCTTTATTGGGTCTAGGGTCAATAAAATTAAGTGTTAAAGGCTCTTAAAATGGAAGGGGAATTATGGTTCATGGGGGAGAGTATATGCCTGGCATGGGTGAGTATCTGGGTTCAGCCCCCAGCATGTTCAAATCCATAAATACTGAGAACAGAAATCAGGAGCTCCACCTGGCCTTCATCATTGGAGTATATGGTACATTTGGGGGGGACAGGGGGATGGCACAGGTGCTAGGGCATGTGTCTTAGCAAGGAAAAGTTCCTGAGCTTCCCCCCAATATGTCCTGCCCATCTTTCCTCACTGCCAGGCATAGCCTTGACGGTATCTGAGCTCTACCAGTCCCAGGCACTGAAGTGTCCCCATAGTGGCCCTTGTGAAAACATGCTCATATAATGAGGACTTTCCTAAAATCCCACTTTTACTGAAGGAACGCATGTTCACTTAACACCCTGATTAAAATTTGGGGCAGTCCACTTACATACCAAAAGTAGCACACATTTGTTTGGTTTTAACATACTTCCTTGTATTTTCTTATATATGGGCTTAAATGGGCTGGAGCAATAGCACAGCGGGTAGGGCATTTGCCTTGCACACAGCCAACACGGCCGACCCGAGTTCGATTCCTCCACCCCTCTCGGAGAGCCCGGCAAGCTACTGAGAGTATCTCACCTGCACGGCAAAGCCCGGCAAGCTACCCATGATGTATTCGATATGCGAAACACAGTAACAAGTCTCACAATGGAGACATTACTGGGCCTGCTCGAGCAAATCGGTGAACAATGGGAGGACAGTGACAGTGACAGTCAGCTTAAATGGCTCTAGAATGAAATACAACAACCTTTACACACTTCCCTCTAATTGTGGTGGGAAGGTGCTCGGTGGTGGGATTGGTATTTGAATATTATCTGTAATGAACTATTGAGAACTATTTTATGAAAATAAAATATATAGAAATTGTAAAAAAAAAAGTTGGGGGCAGTGTGGCATACTGTTTTGAGATCACACGTGGGACCAGGATTTGAACCATTATTGTGGCCACAGCTGAGCAAAGCAAGTACTTTAATCTCAGAATTGTCGTGTCCCTTGTGAAGGTTTTGGATATATTAAGAATTTGTATTTCCATAACGAGCAAAAGATGGTCTTATAAATTCCTTAAAGAAGAAGATGGATTCCCTGGTCTGGCCACAGACTTAATCTACTGGGCTCTTGAAAATGTTGTCATGGCAAGGGATGGGCCACACAGCTCTCCCTGTCTCATCAACAACAGGGAAGGGAGGAGGACAGCTGGGCATGGCTCGGTGGCAAAGAGAAGGAAGACCACCCTAGAGAAGAGGTGAGGGAGGTCGGGCATGGCCTGGTGGCAAAAGAGAAGGGAAAACATGCAAGTGGAACCGAGTGTTAAGAGTTTGTCTA